GAAGGATTCATTGAGCAGCCTCCTGCTGCTCCCAGCGACGTCAGAGGGGTATCAGCGGTACCACCAGGCAAGCCGTTCCCCCAGGCTCTCCCGGTTCAGGCATTGAATGGGTCCAGGCATGTGCTGGATCTGGTTCCTTCAGGAGTTCAAACACCTCTACCCATGGAGGCAGCAGCGATCACAGGAACGGAGCGTCTAGCGTTTAGGGCCGCATACTCTTCTATCTTAGCTATCTCTGCTTCCCAACGCAGCTTGGCCATGCGAGGAAGAAAGCGTGATCGTGAGCCTGTGAGGGTCTAACACAGGGCTCCTGCAGCCCCCCAGGTGCTGCTGTGACAGCAAAGGGGGGTTGATTGCGAGAACTCCACCGGCAGCAGGTTAAACGTGGTTTTGCCCAGAAAGGGGGGAGAGCCAGAATGTTTTCCAGTTGGGTCATTCTTCTGCATGCAATAAACATAGGAAGTGTGTCTCTGTGGCTGTGTTGTCTCTGCAGGCTGAGGCTGCGAAGTGGCTGAAGGCACAGCTAGTCCTTCCTCCCCCCCCCCAACCTGTGCCCTGCAGCCCAATCTACAAAGGGTTTGCAGACTCTTGCTCCCCTGATATCACAGCACTGAACCTCCTAAATTTCCTTCTACACGTGAGACCGTACTTTTAAAGATTTTTGTTATATTTGTGTTTAAAACTGAAAACCAACGGGACTTTTCTCCCTGGTTCTTTGAACACCTCTGAAAGAGGGACTTGGTCACCAAAGGGTGCTGTTCCATTTTATGTTTGATCCAGCCTAAGTGCAGGCAGCTACCGAGAGGAGCAGCCCCTGTCCCCTCCAGCTGCCTGTCCTTGGTGCCTCTCTGGCTGCGGACCCGTGGCCATGGTGGCTGCACAGTAACTCGGGTCACTTCACTGAGTTGCTGGCAGAGGAAGACAGGTCCCAAGCAAAACCAAGCCCTGTTGGAGTAGATGATTTTGGGGGGGTTGTCCTGTACCTGTCCAGAGGCAGATATGTTGCAAGGGAAGGGATGACCTTCAGTAGCAGACTGATGGTGCTCGCAGTCAACGGCGATGTGAAACTGCTTTCTTCAGCCCTTGGCCTTGGCTGCAGGATCCACCCAGCAGTACCGGAAAATCTGCACTTGCTGTTTCTTCAGGTGAGCTTTCGCTCCTCTGTGCAATTTCCACTGCTCAGCCCTTGCTGAAATGAGCGTCTCATCTCCCAGATGTTCTCCCCTAGTATCTGCCCCACTGTGGAGCCTCCTCTGGCTTTGTGGGATGAGAAAAATGACACAAGTCACTCTTCCTCCTCTCCCAAGGGCTCTTCTAGCTGCCACTGTTGGGAACTCCAACACACCCAAAATAATCCATAAGGGTAGAGGTTTTCTCCCCCTCCTTCCCCCATCGGAGCAGCAGCATAGCCTCTATTTCCATACAGCCTATCTAGGGTTTGAATTCTGGACTCCAAGAAGAAATTGTTCCCATGCTGGAAAGCTCAGCACAATGACAGGTCCCGTTACCTTCCTGCTGGTCGGTAGTGCTCAGCGTTAACGATCCAAGCCCAGCTATGGAGACACCACGTTTCTAGTCCAAGGTCTGCCCAGGCCCTGTCCCATGCTCTCCACAGTCTGTGTTTACTGCCGGGACTATGGCTGGGGGCCCATGACGCCCCCGCACCTGCCATGATCAATACGGGGCAATTTTTTGTTTTACAATGGGGAAAACTGTTGCACCCTCCCCAGAACATCCCTTCCCAGCCCATTCCCTCTTGGCAGAGCACTGCTGGCACACGGGGCTCTGCATCCTGCTCCTGGCTGCTCTGGACCAACAGCAAGGGCTGGAGCTGGGCTGTGATGGACCAGGGGACACATCAGGAGAGAAACCCTGGCCTGGCCTCCTGCTGGGGCAAGCTCAACAGCCCTCGGAGCACCAGAGCACAGCCAGGTGAGGATCACAACCCAGTGCAACTGAGGAGCCCTGGCCCAGTGCGGTTCCCAGCAGTCCTCAGGTCCCAGCTCTTCAAAGCTGCTGGGAGCAGCCCTGCTGTGCTTTGGCTTTGCTCCCCTTTGAGGGTCCATCATGAACAGGGCTATTGCCTTTTCTGCAGCTCAGCTTTTCCTGGCAGGTGAGTCTGCTCTGAGCCTGCCCCTCGCCCGGCTCCGCGGGGCAGGGTGCTGGGCTCCAGGGCTGCCCTCCTCCCGGCTGCTCCCCTTGCAAACGAGATAAAACCGCGCTTGTTTTTAAAAGCAGTACCACGTTCACGTGGTGACTCTTTCCTGAAGAGCTCATTAAATAGTTTTGGGGAACGCTCATTAACTAAGGGACTTGGCGTTCTGGGAATTAAGCAGTCAGTTAATCATTGTGGATGAAGTGGTCCCTAGCTGGGCGGTGGGAGGTGTTCACCTAGGGCTGGGTGAAGGCAGGGAGAGAGGCAACTACGCAGCTGAGCAGTCTAGCTGGCTGAGCAGCCTCCCTTGAAGGCTGGCCTGCCTTTTGTTTCTGAAAAAAACCCCACCAAAAATCCTTTTCTTTGCTATCAAGCGGTCCTCATCTGCAGAAAGCAGCTCGCATCTCATCCCCCGATGAGTCCTTAAGCAGCACCACACAGCCCTGGGGCTTCCCCCAGCCCAGCTGCCTGGCAGGGTCGAGAGCTGCCCAGGAGGAGCTGGGTAGGGCTTTTCCTCCCTCCTCGGCTACAGGGTGAGGGTGCTGCACCGTAGCTTGCCCGGAGCAGTTGTTTTGACACAGTTGTTGGTTTCCTTTGCTGGCAGTGAGGCTGGGTCATAAATGTTTGAAACTCAGCCCGTTGCTTCATTTTGTTGGGCTAGATGAGCTGTAGTATTTTTATTTATGCTTCTGGACTGGATGAATGTCCTTGGTATCTATTTGTTAATGCAGGTCTTTTTTTAAAAAAAACAACCAACCTCTTCTGCAAACAGCTTGTCAGGGACAACATGAGCATTTGTTTGCAGAGAGCCAGCAACAGAGCACTGTCTTTACAGAGTGGATTGACTTTAAAACGCGTATGCAAAGGCAGGGAAACCATTCCCATCGCAGAATTCATCCGTGTCTCACAAACATGCCCCTGCGACCTGCGTGTTATTGTACAGAGGAGACGAGATGCTGCAGGAGCACAGCAGGGTTTCAGTTTTCCTGCCACAAGGCTCTCGAGGCTGCTGTGTGAGCCCAGCTGCCTGCTCTCCCCTGCTCGATCAGAAAACCATCCCTCCCCAACATGAGCCCGTCAGCTTTTTCCAGGCAGCCACCCCAGCATGACTCCCAACAACAGCTTCAAAAGCAAAGCAACCCCCACATCCCCCCAAAAAACCTAATCTGTGCAAATTGCAGAGGCGAGCGAGCTCCCCAGGCCCTGGTGGCTTCTGACCCTGCGGGGGACATACAGCCCAGCAGCATGGCAGGGGCCCGAGGGGGGGGTGCAACGGGTCCCGGGGTTTTGCTGTCGGGGATCTGTCGGGAGGTACGGCTGCTCCAGCAGGGCTGACAAAGGTCCTCTTGATGTAGGGAATTAAGCAGAGCCACCCACTGCATTTTGCTGGGTGGGGAGAAGGAATGAATCATGGAACGAGCCAAAGGGGAACAGAGCTTGGCTTCAGATAGGCAGGTCTTGGGCTGAGAGGGGCTTTTTTAGGAAGGACTCTAAAGGTTTCTCTCCCCTGTGCAAATTCTCTGGTATCTAGCAGGTGGGGAGGGAGGTTTGTGCTACAGCTGTGTGTGCAGCCACCTCTCTCCTTCACTGCATTGTTTATCTGTCATGAGACTCCAAGAATGTAATAGCTTTTGGGAGCTGTCAGGTTGTGCTGAAATCAGTTCTTAGGATCGCAGTCATTAGGAGGGCATGTGCGTGCACAAAAAACAGGAGTGCATAAGTCTGGCTTTCCTAAGTTAAAAATCTATCTTTTGAGTATTTAAATAAGTAGAACATAACTGTGAACTGGTTTGTGGCAACCTCTGGTGGAAAGCAAGCCCATCTTACCATACCAGGACAGCACTGGGCTGCAGAACCATCAGCCTCTCATTCCACAACAGAATCGAGAGCACAGCTCTGCACCTGCTGAGATTTGGGCTGGAAAAGATAAAAGAAAGCGTGCAGGAGATGAGCAAGGGAGAAGAGCTCCATGGAAAAAAGGACCAGCCAGACGGTTCCGCGTCACCAGACCGATGGACCACGCCAAGCAATAACCACAGAGCCTTCTGAACAAATGATAAGTCTTATTATTTTTCGGTACAGAAAGAAAAAAAAAAAATGAAGACATCAAAACCACACCAAAAGTCTGTGACAATTGTCCAAACACTTGAACAGCAAAAACATTTCCAAGACAATAAAGTGAAGGAAACAGCAGTACATCCAGACTGATGACAGAAAGCCAGTGGTTTAGCTGTTACTGGTCCCAGCCATATGCAACACGCATTTTATGCTAACTGGATCTTTTGGCTTTGGTCCCAGCTAAGGCACAAATTAAGACACCTGATAGTGCTCATCAGCTTGTGAAACAGCAGAATGTCAGCTGTGTTAAACAGCTCAGATCAAACATCTAGTGCTGACAAGCCCACTCTTTGGTAACAGCAGCAAAGGGCTGAGCAGAGAAGCGTTGCCCTGCCCAAAGCAGAGCTCCAGCACGCCCTGGTGTCAGGAACCACCACCGACAGCTGGGGATGCTCCAGCGCTGGAAACTACGGTGAGTCCCCTTAGCTCGCTGACCAATGCAACGACAAACCTCTGAAAGATGCTCTCTCATCTACATTTCAGTGTCTTATGCTGATAAATAGCCCCCACCTTTTGCCCATGACCTCTTCAAAGCAGCTCTGCTGGCTGTAACCCAGACAAACTTTCCCCAGCAACAGGCTGAGAGTCTCTAAATGCAAAAAGGTCCCCATCCAGGCTCCTTGGGAGAAGTGAGACCTTGTGTCCCAGCCATCCCCCTGTTAAGTGCCCCAAACCAGAGCTGCACCACTACCCAGAGGTGCAAGTGCAGAGGGAGAGCTGTGTCTTCTCATTTGCAGTGTTTCTGCAGGGCACGTCGCCGTTCAGGGCTCTGAGGACTTTTCCAGAAGTACTGGTGCTGGAGGGCTGCCTGGGCTGTGATGCGCCTTTTGGGGTCGTACAGGAGCAACTGCTGCCAAGAGGAAAACACAGCAGATGTAGGCTTTTAAAAAACAAATGATCAATTGCACCTGCATGTGGCTGGGCCCAGATGTAGATGTTGGTCCTGCCTTTTCCCCTCTCTGGGCTTCAGGAGTAACCCACAGCTGAAGTTACTGTGGGGAATACACTAGAGGGGTTTCTTAACCCTTGATGCAGTGGTTTCCTAGAGGAGCCTGCATGGCAGCCCCACTTCAGAGCCAAGACTGAGCGCTATTTGATGAACCAGTGTTTCTGCAATGGCAGAGATGAGCATGAGCGCCAGATCAGCTAATGCACTTCTGGGTAGATCAGTCCCAAATATCCCTATTCTCTGCCCAGTTTGAAAAGGTCCTGCCTGTCCCCAGGTCTTGTTCTGAGCCCGTACTCACCACCAGTAAGTCTCTGCCATCTCTGTCTAATTTGGGAACAATTTCCTTCATCTCCTTCCTCGCCCACCGGGGAAACTCCCTGTTGTAGTCAGGCAGCTGGGTCACTCCAGGCCAGGTTGCCTCGGTGGGAGTGCCCAGGGTGCGAAAGATCTGGAAGAGCTGATCGATCTCAGAGTCCCCTGGAAACATGGCCTTCCCGATCACCTGAGAAAAAAAAAAAACAAAGCCAGTCCCACCTTTCCATCTGCTGTGTGCCCGATTTCCCACTGCAGGCAACCCTTGGTCCCAGCAGATGCAACCAACCACACAGACCAGGGCAGTTACAATGCAGCGATTCTGCCAGGCTGGGAAAGTCACGGGTGTCTGTCTGCTTGTCTCCAGCTCCTCTCCATGGATCCGTGCTCCCCTGAGGCCACCCTCTTTCAGCCAGTCTCTTAGCCCTCTTTGTCTCCAGTTTCTTAACAGCCAGCTCTTGAAGGCTAGCTCCCTCCTCACCTGCTTGCCCAGGCTCTGCTGATCTGCAGCTTGGGGGCTTTGGGAGCTAGGGATAGCGCTCTTCTACTGCAGGGATAACAAGAGCTCTTCAACATGGAGTATGGACTCCTAGGAGATCCACTCTGCCATGCTATGAAGTGCTAGTTCTCTGCAGCCCACTGCAGGGACATCTGCAAGAGAGTCATCTCCTCCCAGGATGAAAATGCTGCAGCAACAAGACTGAAGTTACCCCTTTGGCAAGGACAGGCATTGCATTCCCATACACCTGGAACTGCAGCCAGACTACAGAGGCTTCTTCACCTTCTGCCAGGCCCCGGAGAGTGGCAGATTTCCTTCTAAGCCCACAGCTAAGGATGAGCTAGCCCTCAGGGTGGACTTCCTGTAACACACACCCCAGCACAGGGTGGGATCCCAGTATCACAGATGTTCTGCATCTTATCCCTCCTTCCCCACTTCCCATTGCAGCTGCATCCTCCCTGCTCATTAAAGAGACTATTTAAACCCCTTCTACCATTTCTGCAAAGATGCAGCCGATGCTCCATATATCCACAGCGGTTAAGTAGTACTTGCATCTCAGGAGTATTTCAGGGGCTCGGTACCACAGAGTCACCACCTGGTAAGGAACCAACAAACAAGCTTTGTCTAGTTTCCCTGGGTGAAACTAGAGGCATGGGATCCTCTCTTCCCAGCTGTAATGCAGCGACTGTACATCATCGGAGCGTGCCAAGGCCGTGCTGAATTAACAGACACCTTCGTGACAGCAAGATTGGGACTAACAGATCATTCATCAATAGGACACTGTGGAAGAAATGAATATACCCTCTCCAGACAAGGTAGGAACCCAGCTTGCAGGCAGGCTAGGGTAGAAGCAGTCAGCACACTTTGTGGGGACATGAGGTAGTCCTTAAGCTGCGGGTTAGGTTAAGAGCACGTGCCTGGGCACAGCTGTGCCTCAGCTACTGATGAGTAACTTGTGATAGGGCTGTTGCCCTTAAGCTGCGGGTTAGGTTAAGAGTACGTGCCTGGGCACAGCTGTGCCTCAGCAACTGATGAGTAACTTGTGATAGGGCTGTTGTTCATCCACTGCGGATTGTGTATCCCCCTCTCGGGTGGCAGGGAGTCTCAACAATACCTCGTGAGTGTACATGCGCAGGGGGACTCCGAAAGCTCTTGCCAGTCCAAAATCAGCCAGTTTGATTGTTCCTGCTTCATTAATGAGCAAGTTCTGCGGCTTCAAGTCCCTGTGGATGACTCTGTGCACGTGGCAGAAGTTCACCCCCTGCAGCAGCTGGAAAAGGTAGTTCTGAGGAGAGAAGAGATTTCAGACAAGGCCACAATGAAACCACTTCAAAGGCTGGATCATATGAACCAACATGCTTTGGATCATCTACAGACCTGAATGGGAAAAAAGACCTTGAAATAAGGCAAACACCAGGCTTGCGGGCCACTACCCAAAGACGCACACAAACTGCTCCCACCCTACCCAGGGACAGACAGGCTCCAGTCTTAGGAGTGGCAGTTCCTTCCATGCATTACTCTGTAAAAAGGCAATTAGCAATAGATCCCTCAGTTGTCCTCTTAACAGCAGTTTGCTCTGCAGCAAGATGGGCTGAAGAGCCTGGAAACAGCTGGGAAACAAATGTGCTGAGCAATAGTGCCAGGAGGTTTTCCCAGCTGAAATGTTTGGGATATGAAAAGTTGAATGTCTCCAGCCAAGAATGAATCTCTTCCAGATGCAATCTGAGTAAGACCAGCTCAGTGCTGGCTCTGCGCAGCAGAAGGCAGCAAGGACACACACGCTCTGCCCTGCCTATTAGTGGTCCTTCCACACTGTACCTTGACCAAGCCCAAAGGAAGCTGTCCATTTTGGCACGAGTCCATGTATTGCTTCAGGTCCTGATTCAGATACTCAAACACGAGACAGAGCTTCCTCTCGCTGTCTATGACATCCAGGAGCCTGCAAAAGAAGCATAAGCACTCTCTTCAGTACCTTTGTGTGGGAACCCACACTATGCAGGAGTGTTAGTCACTTGCAGAGTGTGTGGGAAGACCTTCTGAAGACCTTTGCCCAAGCATCCCTCCTCCCACAGATGCCTCTGCTCTGAGAGTCCTCTGGAGCAGTGAGAGGCAGATGTAAGAGCAGCATCTAGTATGGGGCAGCAGCAGCTTGGACCAGCCTGTGTTGCTGGAGTAAAGTGGCAGTGCTGTGGGCTATTGCTGTAAACCAGGGAAGCGCAAGTGATTCTTGCATTTTCCTGTTTATTTTGCTTCTTTCTACGCAGCCAGGGAAGGACTGGAAGGCCCCTCTTGCTGTCTGTCCCCAGAGCTCCCTGTGGGGATGAGCAGGAGCTTGCCAATATGCTGGTGGAGAGGGTTCATCCAGGTCTTACCTGACTATGTTGGGGTGCTTCAGCTCCTTCAGCAGTGAGATTTCTCGGATCGCGGTGCTGGGGACACCCTCCATCTCCCTGCAGCAGAGACAGGCTGCCTGGCACCCCGTCCCCCAGTGGGATCCCACAGCCCATCGGGGTCCTGTGTCCCTTCTCGCTTCCGTTGTACCCCATTGCCTGCCCAGGGGAGGGTTTCTCACACCAGGCACCCTGAGTTTGGGATGGAGCCATGTGTGGGGTCAGCTGGGACGAGGCAGGGAGAAATGGAGCCACGGGGAAGGAGAGGGACGGGGTGACCTAGACAGTGCAAGCTGTGGGGCAGAGCTTGTTTGGGAGCACCTTGGGGCACATTTGGAGAAGCAGTGGTTTAAATGCCCAAGCCTTGCTTTTTGGAGGCGAGGGGAGAGGAGAGCTCTTTGCCCCTCAGGCAGCCGCCTCCGCCAGCCTGAGGGGCCACCATGGGGTGCAGTCCCACCACCATGGTCCCTGGTCCACACTTACACCCCTCATCGTGGAGACAGCCCAGGGATGACTCAGGGGAATGGTAATAAGCTTTTATCTGCTCAGTCCTCACCCTGGAGTGGCTGAAGCTGGCCCTGCCAGAAGGCTGAGCCTCACCAGGCCCCAGCACTGCACTCCTGAGGGAGAGACCACCTCCCAAAATGGTGGCTACTTCCCGCTACCCTGGGCCATGGCTCCAGGGCCAAGCAGTGCCGCGTCAGGCCCTAGGTGATTGCATGAGCCGATACAGATGTTCTTTTCCGTCATGTCAGGCTTTTTCAAGCCTCTCACACCATTTTGGACATCGGGTTGGGCTGGACTCAGGCGCCCTCTGCTCAGTCCCATGGTGGGGCTGGGGCTCTGCTGGGCTCAGCTGGTGGCCGTCTCCCCACAGACGGCACTGCCGGCCCCAGAGGAGCCATTT